TTGTGACAAACCCTGGGCTGTGACCTGGTTTCCTCTGCCCTGAGCAGCAGGAGCGGTCCAGGAGAGCTACCCAATGTGGGTCCTGCCTTCCCAACCACTACTCACAACAGGCAGGTCTGCAATGGTGGAGATGCCACAGAATCCATCAACCCATTTTCAACTCCTCTTTTCTCCCAGGAAGTCCTTCCCACCCTCTCCAATAGCAGTTTCTGCAGAACACACAGATTCTGCTGATAGAGAATGAGGAGATGAGGACTGTGGAAGCAACCTGGTCCAGTGGAAGGTGTCCCTGCCTGTGGCCGTGGTTGGAACTGGATGAGGTTTAAGGTCTCTCCCAGCACAAACCAGTCTGGGATTCCATGTTTCTAATAGCCATTTATCAGAGGTGCAACAGCACAGGATATGCAATCTCCACACTGCTATTCTTCAAGTATCAACTATTCGAGCCTGTTTCTGTGTTAAATAATTAAGAGACCCTTATCACACCCTGACTCCAGTTGTCCACATTTGTATTTTTTAAGGAGAATTAGGGAAGTGCTTTTGCTGTATCCAAAGCAAGAGGGAAGAGAAGCAAATGGGCTAACTCCTGGTGAAAGACAGAGCCTCTCCCCAGTGCTGTGAGCCAACGGAACACGTTGTGGTTGGCAGTGACCAGCTCACAGTGAACACGTTGAAGCCTCCCCATCTCCTTCTGCTGTGGCACGTGCTCCGACTCAGGCGGGTTATTCACCACAAGCCAGTGCAAAAACCCACACGGAAGCTGGGGAAGCCACAAGAACACACGATGCGAGATGGTGATGCTTAATTAGGGGTTGACAGTGTTTTCTGCTTCAACGCAGGGGTGAGGAGAGACGGAGCGACACAGGAGCTGCTCCATCACTTTTAGCTCTTTAATTACAGAAAACCTTTCCCAGGAAGTCCTGAGGTTAACTCAGCTTCTGACAACACTGGCAAACTCACACAAGCACCAGGCTGCTTTCAGGAACGGAGTCTTTCTAAGAGTTACCTATAGAAGGAAAAACCCCAATGCTACCTTATTGTCATTGGCTGCTGTAGGGCTGCTTGGAGCCCTACATGCTCTCTCTGCACAACTGTCTTTGAGGAAAGGAGGTGCCAAGGCTTTAAAAGACCCCTTTTAAACTTTGCAGAGTCTACAGAGCATGCCACATGCTGCTCCTGCCAGCTTCCCCAGCACCACAGGCTCTGGGGAGAGCAAGGAGGATGCATTCATGGGATCAGATCACCCAGGAGGGCAGGACCAGCTTTGGTTCCTGTTTTCCAGCAGCTCTGTCCCCACACTGGAGTGTGCAGAAGTGTCCACGCTGGAGCCTGGCGAAGGTCACTGCCACCTAAACACAGCCAAACCTTCCTTGTGCTGGGAGCTCCAGAGCGTTTCCCCTTCCAACATCCGGAGAGATGGACAAGAGTAATTAAAGGTGACAAAGATGTGAACAGCAGGCAATGGGAAGGGCTTTGTCAGGGGCTCGCACACCCACTGCTGGACTTGACTGGCTGCAACTGGGAGATGTGCTCATGAAGGAAGCAAGCACTGGAATTCCTGCTGCTGCTTTCCAGGCTGCAGCCACCTTACATAGGAAAATCAGATTTAGTAAGATTGTGCATCTGGCAAGAGCCCATAATGGTCATGTCAGTGAATCACTTCAATAATCGTTCCCAAATGATGCACTGCTCATACTAAATCCACTCAGGTCATTCCCTGAGGAGCCCTTCAGGAGAGGCCCAGCGAGCTTCCCAAGTGGGACGCAGTGGCAGCTTTGCCAGCAGCAGATCCAGGGCTGCTGGAACGGACTGTTATATACAGGTCAATGCCAAACGCTACTTAATGAAAATGAGATTAATCATTCTTCATCCTGGGTTCTCAGGGATTCGATCTCCAGCCTGGCCTGACACGGATACAGATGGGCTCAGTATCCTTCAGGACACTGCCTGGATCTCTCTGCCATCCAAATGCCGCCTTTCACAGCCCCTAGGCCCCATAATCCCATTTGCTTTCCCATTTGCAGATTCAGATCTTAAAGGACAATTAATTTGCCCGAGCAGCCTGAATTCTATTTTCGCTGCCTTCCTCCTTCCCTGCAGCTGAGCTGTGACTTATTGACTGTGAAGGAACCGCAGGGTCTTTACAAGTTCAAGGCACAAGGTGTTTTTGTGTCTGTTTTTGCTGAGCTGACTCCCTCTGAAATCATCTTTGCTACCACCATTTCATGGGCAGGAGGCATGTGACAGCCAGCAAAGCTGTGAACCAGCATCATGCTGGGGATGATGTTTACATTTGATTTTTCCTCAGGCTGATAAGTTCTCTCCCATTTCCCTCTCCATCACCTTGCTATGGATTGAGCTGCTTGGGTGGAATGAGGTGGAATTCTTCTCTTATCTCTAATCTGCTCACTGAGACAAAACAATGCTGCCAGCAGCCCTTCAAAAGTCACCTCGAAGTGATCATGGCAAAGAGGGAAGAGCTGGGTGATCTCCCAGTGCAGATGGACTTATAGGTGCTGTCAGCATCCAGCAACATGGAGAGCTCCACTCTGCTACCTCCAGCTCTGGGTGTAGTGAGACAACTTGTCATTTCAGCTTCCTAAAGCAGAGAATTCAACCCTGAATACCATGCTGGAGGCTTCTGCCCAGACTCCAAGCCATAAATGATGGGAAGGCTGCAACACATGGAACAGGAGATGCAAGAATTGGAAGTAAATCAGACACCAATTTTCCTTCCCCATTAGGCTGAGGATTTCCACCTTTGCAAGCAGTGGTGGAGACCAGCTTTGCCACCCATGTGCGCCAACAGCTCTCCAATAACTTGAGTGCCTTTGGAGAAAAGGAGGTTTCCAGGTGCTCTGTCTCCTGGGTAGAGGGATGATGATGATGTGCCCTCTCCTCACCCAACCATTCCTGAAGGATCTCGGTGCTCCTGTCACCCTGCAGGCACACAGAGCCTCCACACCCACCTCTACTTGTGCCAACAGCTCTGCTATTCACACCAGAATGGGTGAATGGCCCTTGCAGTCCCTTCCCAAGGGATGAGGGTGGGGATCCAGGGAGGAGCACAGAAGCTATTTATACCCATTACATTTTGAAACACCCTTTTCCAGCATGGTGGTGAGAAAACTTACGAACCTCAGATCTGGGTTCTCGGAAAGGGACAAACTGGGGCTGTGTGCTCCTGCATGAGCCCTGCTGCTGGCACGAAAGGAGGTTTTCTCCCTCAAAGACTTTCAAAAGCTCCCTTCAGAAGCCTCTCCATGCCTCATGTCAACTTTCCACGCCTTTCTGCCCCCTCCATCCAGTTTTACTAACCAGTTCCCCTTGATACCTACTGAGTGCTTGGGGCAGGTCTTCACTGACCTGACCCATGCTCTGGCTTACCCCCATCAGATTCACTTAGCCAAAGCCCAGCACCAGCCGCCCTTGCTCAGCAGCACAAAGCCAGGGATCAGATTCTGGCTGTGCTGGTGACCCTCCATCCTTCATCCATGGCACGATCACCGTGGGGAGCGGCACGAAGGACGTGTAGGGCCGGGTCAGGAGTGATGAGCTCCACCAGGCATAGTCCTGACCCAAGAGCAGCAGAGCTATTGAGAGCCAGGCCCAACCCCTCCACACAATACCCACTAGCTGCTGTCACGTTGTCCTCAGCCCTCCCAGGAGCTCCGCTTGCAAACCGAGGCCGAGTGACACAGGTTGGATGTGGCCCAAGTGAGGAGTAAGCAACTTGACTCAGGGAATCAAAGCAGCAGTGAGATGTCTGGCTCCGATTCATGTGTTTTTTACTATTAGCGTCAGGTAAGCCAGCTGCTGGCTTGTACATTCGGAGTTACTTGCAGAGAGAAGGAAAACAAACACTCCTCCTCAAACCCAATGGTCTTGGCGTGAGCAACAACCCTGTCCCCTCCCCAACACACGGTAAGGTGGCAGAGAAGTCAGAAGGATGAAGACTATTATAACTGTTCATTGCCAAAAGCCTCTCTCAGCTGCGCCCTCAGCATCCCAGGCTGGAAGCCCACAGCAGTGCTGGGAGAATGCTCCCAACAAAGAGGTCCAAAGGCAAGCTGAGCACAGCTCTTTCCTTTCACAGCAAGGGACTGCAGCAGAAGCGCTAGGGACAGCTTTCCACATGCCTCAACCACAGCCCCTCACACAAAATTACCCCTCACATCCAGCCCTCCCAACAGCGTGTGACACCCATGTCACAATCACAGCTCCCGCTGGCATTGCTGGGGGTTTAGCGCTAATGAGCCTCATCTAAAGCCTGGGAACAAGATGGGCTGTCCTAACACAGCCAAAACCCATCCACCGCATAGGAGGCTCAGAATGAACTTGGGGCTCAGGCGGGTGATCGGGGGCATCCTGTCAGACCCATAAAATCAACCCAAGAGCCGGGCAGGGCTTTGCAGCCACACACACCTCAAAAACCAGCAATTAAGAGGTCGTTAATGAGCTATAAATTATCAGGCAGCAGAGGCAGGACTGCTTGGACAGCCCCACATGTCCAACCCTGCCAAGGGCAACCCAGAATCCTCTGTTAATGCTGTCAATGGTGCTGTCAGCCTGGGGCTTGCTCCCTGCCTCTCGAAGATAGTTTTCTGGGGGCCCCAGCAGCCCCCCCATGCAAGGCAGCCCCCCCTCAAGCAGAGGCTTTCCGGGGGGGGGGGGGGGGGGGGGGGCTAAACCATTCAGGATCCGGGGGAACGGGGGCTGCTGCAGTTGGACGGGACCACGCGGTACCCCAGGGGTGGCACACTGCGGGTGGGGGCGGTTGGACTGAACCACTCGGAGCCCCCCCATGGGATCCAACGCACAACGCGGAGCACTGCCGGGAGGTACCACTTAGTCCCCCGCGGGGGGTGCAGCTGGGCTGAACCACTCCGAGCCCGAGGGGAAGCCGTGCTGCGGGGGGCTCCGCCGGGATCGGGTGAACGGCGGCTCGCGGGGGAACCGGCCGGGGGCGGTGCTGCCGCCCGGTGCTCGCAGCGCGTTACCTCCTGCCGCGTCCAGGGCCCCCGCGCCGGCCTCCGGGGGGGCACCGGCGCCCTCCACGGACGAGCCCTCCTCCTCCTCGGACACATCGGGCTCCATGGCGGGCGCTCGGCAGGCCCGGGGCAGGCCCCGGCCCGCGCCCGCCGCCTCCGCCGCGCTCCTCCCGGCCCCGGCCGCCGCCGCTGAGGAGGCTGGGAGCAGCCAGCACCATAGGGCGCGGGAGGTGCCGCGGACAGACACGCCCCAGAGCTGCAGGGCGGAAGAGGTACCGGAAGTAGAGCGAGCCTTTTCCGCCGGGGTTAATCGCGACGCGGGGGCCGAGTCTGTCGCGATAACCCGCGGGCTGTGGGAGCGGGACCGCTCCGGGGCCCGACTGCGAGGCGCGGGGCAGGGAAGGTGTCTGTGCCTAGGGAGGCACCATAGAGATGTGCGGGGGGGCGGGACCTGTCGGTTGCCATGGCAGCGGGGGTGGGGCCGGCCTGGCTCGGGACACCGCTACCCTCGCGGTACCCCCGGAGGACCGGGGCCCTCTCCGAAGGGTTCGTCCTTGGCCACCGTGTCCGGGGCCGTGGCTCCACCTGGAGGTCCCGGGGTACGAGATAGCACCGGGGTTATGGGGCGGCCCCGGAGTTATGGGGCGGCCCCGGGGGTACCGGATAACCCTGAGGGTACGGGGTAGCCCGAGCCGGCCCCGCCGGTTCTCCCGGCCGGTCACCTCACACCCCTGTGCCCCGGCCCTGGGGGACAGACGTGTGTCGCGCAGCCAGTGCTGCGGGGCTCTGGCCGGGGCCAGTCAGAGTGAGCAGTGGCGGCTCCATGGCTCCTGTTCCGCGGTGGCGGCTCGTGGCCGGGGGCTTCCGGAGGGATTGGTCCCCCCTCGACACCCCGCCGCGGGGCTGCCACCTCTCATTGCGGATCCGGTACCGGCGCCGGTTGGCGGCGGCGGCGGCCTGGAGCGAGAGCCGCGGCGTGGAGCTCGTCTCCTTCACCGCAGGGAAGCGGCTCTGCAGGAAGAGGAGCGACGCGGGGCGCGTCCCCAGGTGGGGGGCAGCGGGGACAGCACCCATCGGCACAGTCACCTTCCCCTCCTCACCCCGCCGCGGCCCCTTCCCCTCCCGGGGCTCCCGAGGAGGTGCTGGGGGTCCGGGGAAGGTGGTTGAGCCACCAGCACTGCGGGGGACACCTCCCCGCGACCCTCATCCTCCTCCTTCCCGCTTGCAGGAAGCATCTGGCTCACAAAGGGTTACGCAAAGCACCCTGGAGTGACTCCACTGCCACCAGCCCCGGAGCTTGGCTCCTTCCTGCTCAGACCCAAGGCTTGGTGAGTATCTGACCCTGTCCCTGCGCTCTGTTGTCCCCTGGGAAGCGGCTGTGCTCCGGGTCCCTCTCTGAATGGCTCCAGGACCCAATGACCTTCCTGGAGTCCTGCCTAGTAGAGGGGGATACCCTGAGGTGGGAGATCGTGGGACCCCGCTACCACAGTTCCACACCCCGAGGTGCCTCCATCCTCTGCATGGATTCCGGTGGGGTCAGAGCTCCCGGAGACCCTTGTGCAGGGTCTCCCATCTCAACATGGCTGGAGTTGGGTTAAAGCAGCTTCTGGGGGCAGCTGGGACCTGCCAGGGGGTGAGGGTTTCGCTGAAAGCAGGGACCCTGCTGATCCAGGGAAGGCTTTGGGGTTCCAGGTTGAGGACCCATGTTGAGAGGGGGGTCCCCACATTGTCAGCCAGAGGTGGGCACAGCCCTGAACCAGGGAGCTTGCAGTGGGACGAGCTGCCCCAGCACAGCCCAAGCTTTATTTGGTGTTTGAACTTCTAGAGAGGAGGTTTAGGGGAGGTATTAGGAAAGTCTTCCCAGTGAGGGGGAAGGGTCAGCTGGCACAGGGTGCCCAGAAAAGCTGTGGCTGCCTCATCCCTGGCCATGTTCAAGGCCAGGTTGAACACAGGGGTGTCCTAGCAGAAGGTGTCCCTGCCTGTGGCAGGGGTTGGAACTGGAGGAGCTTTTAGGTCCCTTCCAACCCAAACCAGGCTGGGATTCTGTGATTTTAAGATCAAAAGCCCTGCGAGACACTGGCCACGGTATGTGCGAGGCTCCCAGTGCTGGGTGTGTTGGGCTGGGCTGTGGTCAGCTCTGCCCTGATACTGCCTCTCCCGGCGGGGACATTTAGGGTGCGGGCTGGTTTCTGTCACAAACCGGCCAAGCCGGCTCCTCCGGTGCCAGCCTTGGCCTTTGGCTTGGGGCATGTCCTACTCCAGGTCCCCACAGAGACACCGGGGACAAGTCCAGGGCCTGGTGGCCCTGTGGGCTGTGCTGGTTGGTGAGTCTGGACCTGCTGCCATCCCTATGCTGTTCCCCCTGCCCCAAACTGCTGCTGCCTGTGGAGAGCCAGGGGTGGCAGTGGGATGTGTGGCTGGTTCATGGTGTCCTGGTGACAGGGCAGCAGTGGGGACAGCGAGAGGCTGTTGGTGGAAACGGGCTTGGCTCTGGCACTGTGGGTGAGAACGTGACCCCGGGGAGGGGGATGCTCTGGGTGCCCTGTGATCGCGTCCCTGGGACCTGTGGCTCACCAGAGCCCATAAACACCAGCCAGCCAGCACTGGTGACATGCCTGATCCAGGACCTGGCAGTTCAGGTCACTGATCCAGCCGGAAACCACCCCACCACCATGCTGGGGCTCCTGTGTCTTACTGGGGTCCTGCTCAGCCCCAGCCACGCTCTGGGCACGTGTGTCCCCACGTGTCACACACCACCGGGTGCCAGGCAGGCACTGGGGCTGGTTTCGGTGGCTCATGACGCAGAGGGGAGGCCTGGACTTTGCCCTCTGCTCACAGCCTCGCCACTGGGACCATTGCTGAGCCTCGGGTGAATGATTACATTGTCCCTCCTGGGGCTGCTAGGACCTGGGCCTCATTCTGGGGGTGCAGCCTGGTGCTGTGGTGCAGCTCCAGTGAGGGGCTGGGCATGGAGAGCCAAAAAACCTCTGCAGTTTTCCCATGGGATCCCTGCTCAGCGTTCCGAAGGCATTGCCCACAGGGTGGCAGCATCTCTGATGGCCCCTGGTCCCACCGGAGCTGCCCCAAGGGAGCTGTGAAGTTTTCCAGCTTCACATGGCACCAGTGTGGAGGCGGAGGGTGGCTGAGGCGCGGTGGGGGAGCCATCGTGGCTGTCCAGAGCAGTGCCCTGGGCTCTCCCCCTGGAGAGGAGCAGGACCACAAGGTCTCAGTCATGGAGATGGTTCCTGAGGGTCAACACTGGCACAGGGTGCCCAGAGAAGCTGTGGCTGCCCCATCCCTGGCATTGTTCAAGGCCAAGTTGGACGGGGCTTGGAGCAAGCTGCTCTAGTGGAAGGTGTCCCTGCCTGTGGCAGGGGTTGGAACTGGAGGAGCTTTAAGGTCCCTTCCAACCCAAACCATTCCATGACTCTGTATGACCCACCTGCCCTGCATAAAAGCCATCCACATGTCCAAGGGGACAGAGATGGATCCCCCTGGGGGGTGATTTGGGAGCTCTGGGTTTCAGGACCTGCTCCCACATGGGCCTGGCCAGGCTGCAACGTGGTTGTAAGTCCTGGTGCCATGGCGGGTGTCCAGGGAGCCTGCCCCTGGCATCCTCACACTCAGCTTTGCTTCTGCTCTTTGTTTCAGCTCCGAGTGGGATTGAGGAGGAGCCGGCGCTGGTTCCTGGCCCCTGGGCAGGGCTGGCTGTGCTGCCCGGCTGCACTCCTCTGCTTGCGCTGGTGCGTGGCCACCATGGAGGAGATGGTGATCTGGGAGCAGCACACGGTGACGCTGAGCAAGGTGACCACAGCCTGGGGTAGCCATGGGAGGTGGGGGCTGTCTATGCCTGACCCCCCTCTGCCTTGTCTCCATTAGGACCCTCAACGGGGCTTTGGCTTTGCTGTCTCTGGAGGTCGGGACCGTCCCGACAGGGTGACTGGGGACACAGCGGTGGTTGTTTCAGATGTGGTGCCCAAGGGACCAGCGGTGGGAAGGCTTCAGTGAGTGTGTGGGGATGTGGGGACGTGGAGGGTGCCCATTGCCAGCAGGGACAGGGAGGGCAGTGACCCATGGTTGTGTTTCCCTGCCAGGAGGAAGGATCACATCGTGATGGTGAACGGCCTTTCCATGGAGAACGTCTTGTCCTCCTTTGCTGTCCAGACACTTAAAACCTGTGGCAAGATTGCCAACATTGTGAGTGTGCCCTGGTGAGGCTGGCATTGTGCAGAGGACCACACTGGACCTGTCCCGCATGCCCCAGGGCTCTCATTCGGGGCTTGGAATTGCTGTAGAAACAGAACCATAGAATTGTTTGGGTTGGAAAGGACCCTAAGCCCATCTAGCTCCAACCTCTGGCACAGGCAGGGACACTTTTCACTAGAGCAATGTGTTCCAAGCCCCTGTGTCCAACCTGGCCTTGAACACTGCCAGGGATGGGGCAGCCACAGCTTCTCTGGGCACCCTGTGACAGCACCTTAGCACCCTCACAGTAAAGAACTTTTCTGCCTTATGTCTCACCTGAACTTCCCCTGTTTAAGTTTAAACCCATTTCCCCTTGTCCCCTGTATCCTGGCAGAGATGGCTGCACCCACCATCCTCTTCTTCTCCCTTTCCACCTGCAGACACTGAAAAGACCAAAGAAAATCCACCTGCCTGTGAGAAAGAGCAGCCCTGGCTCCTCCAGGGTGCCCCGGCGCTGCGACTCGGATGAGGATTGTGGGTTACCCAGTGCAGGTCCAGCCCTGCACTGCTCCCAGGATGACCTGGACCACAGCCAGGGCTACGATGGGGACTCATCCAGCGAGAGGAGCTCTGGCCACCACCAGGATGAACATCGCCACCACAAGCCAATGTCCCGGCGGCGAAGCAGTGGCTCGGATCGGAGGGGCTACAGCCAGCGCCACTTTGCCAACGGGTTTGGCCATGAAGAGACCACCAAGGGACTGGCCCTGGTGTCAGGCTTCAAGCGGCTGCCGCACCAGGACGTGCCCATGAAACCCATCACGTCACTCCTGGTGAAGCAGAAGCAGGATGAAGGTGAGGTCCCTCCTGCCCACTTTGTCTCTGGGTCATGTCACTCAGTTTGTGGCCATGCATCCCACTGGGTGGAGGTGATGGCAGGGTTGGTGCCAGGGTCTGGCAGTGTGTGCCGTGCTGGGTGCTCCAAACCCATCTGGCCTCAGCCTGGGATTGCAGAGCTCAGCTCTGGGGCTTGCTGGTGCCCCAAGAGGAGCCAGGGTGGGCTTATGGGGATGGTGATGGGGTGGGACCTCAAGGGGGTCCTGCATCTGCCTGGGCTCTGCACTGT